GTTGTTTTGTAAACAATGCGCTAAAGAAACATATCCCTCTCACGGACTCGACAATAAACAATTTCGTGATTTCATTTGTGAATCACAAGTGCGAGTGAAGGAGCCTCTTGCGGATTTCCATAAACAACTATCGTTCAAAACAACTCACTCTGTATGTTCACGACGAGGAACTAATTTGTCTAAAATCCTTCCTTGCCGCCATTTTCAAAGTTTTATACACAAAAAGTGTGGCCGCCTTCCAAACTGGCAACTTCACGACATCCGAGCGATTTTAGAAAATTGGTACTGTTCATCTTGCTGTGAAAAAATATTTCCTTTCTACTCTTTAAATAATTTTGAAATAATTGCTGAAGGGTTCAACTCCAATGAAATTTGTCCATGTGCTACTATCACGTAAGAGCTAACTAGACTAGAACTTACCGAAACAGTTACAGAAGTTGACTTCAACAGACTTAAACTAGACACTGCTCATCCTAATTCAAACAATGATATCGACGTAAACATAAATCTCGAATGTAACTTTCAATACTACTCCACGCATGAATTTCATAAGTTACAACGAAAGCTAAAAGCATTTAGAAACACGCCTTTTAGTATGATGCATACAAACATTCGCTCGTTGAATAAAAATATCAACAACTTAGAAATTCTTCAAACAACACTAGGACATAGCTTTGACATTTCAGAAACTTGGATCTCCAAGGAAAACGAAAGTACAATTAAAAACCTACATTTAAATGGCTATCAAAAAGTTCATGCTACTTCTGGCAATAGTCTAAAGGGTGGCTGTGGCTTCTTTGTTTCCGAAGGTATTATATTATTACCCAGGGAGGACCTAGACTACTCTTTTATAGGAAAAGATGTGAATTTGAAGCAAACTGGATAGAAATTACTAACTCACCAAAGTCAAGCTACGTGATAGGCGTTATAAATCGTCACCCAAGAAAAAAACAAGAGGATGAATCATTGAACACTTAACAAACACAGTATTGTGCAAGGTCAGAAAGGAAAACAAAATCGCATGTATTACTGATGACTCTAATATAGACCTGCTTCGGTATGATACAGAAGCATATACAGACAACTTCTTAAATCTCTTAATATCAAATTTTTTCCAACCTCACATAATTCAGCCGTCTAAAATTGCTGGTAATCAAAGACCTACTCTGATCAAAAATATTTTTCTAAACTCATTAGAATTTGAGACGTTTAGCGGTAATCTGATCTCTAAAATAACAGATCATATGCCTAACTTCATATTCTGTCAAAAGCTAAATGTTAAATTCTCTAAGGGTAGGAAAAGTTTTTATCGTGATTACAATAACTTTGATGCTGACTCATACATCTCGGACCCAAGACAGGTGGAACTTGTAAAATTAATAAATGCTGAAAATAATCTGAATGCAAAATTTAATGTTTTTCAGGATTCACTTTTAAATATCATCAATAAACACGCCCCTTTAAAGAGAGTCTCTAGGAAAATGTATAAAATGAGAAATAAACACTGGTATTCTTTAATCAATCTCAGTGAAAAATAGGTAATACTCGTAATAAAGTTTTTAAAAACGAAAGATCCCCCATGCTACCAAAAATAAAAAGGATATAGAGACCTTCTAAATCATCTGATAAGAAAAAGCAAAAAGATCTATTACATTTCCTATCTTGACAAATTCAAAAAAAATTCGAAAAAGGTTTGGTCTGGCATTAATGATATCATTGAAAAGCAATGACTCATATGACTTACCCGTAAAACTCATGAGGTACACAATTTCATTGCCTTTCAAGCATCAATAATTTTATTTTCAAATAATAATTTTCAAGCATCAATTTGGATTTCAAAAAAATAAATCAACAGCACTGGTAATCTTAGATCTCTGCACAAAGCTAGTTGAAAACATTGAAGGAAAACGTTTTTCATGCTGTATATTTCTAGACTTCTCTAAAGCCTTTGATACAGTCTTTAATCATGGTATCCTGCTAGATGAGCTCGAACACTATAGAATAAGAGGAATTGCCCATTCTTGGTTTAAATCCTACCTTACAGAACGAAAACAAACTGTCTCAGTTGATGGCAAATTGGCAAAAGATCTCTCTATTAACTGTGGAGTTCCACAAGGAAGTGTCTTGGGTCCACTTCTCTTTCTGCTATACATTAATTACATCAACGTTTCTTTACAAAAGCTGGATTTTAACATCTTTGCAGATGATACAAGCCTTCTTTTTTCACACAAAAACCTACAAACCTTAGAGAAAAAGGTAAACTCAGAATTAGCAAATATCTCGATGCTACTGGCCAGTAAACTTTCCTTAAATGTATCAAAATCAAATTTTCTGATTATAAATCCGCATCAAAAAAGGCCTGATAAACCTATTGTCTTTCAAATTGATGACGAAAAGCTAGTACAAAAAAACTACACTAAATATCTTGGCATAATCATTGACAAACACTTAAATTGGAAACAACATATTAAGCAACTAAATATTAAAATCTCAAAGAGCATTGGCTTACTATACAAAACAAGACACTTGGTACCTCAAAGCATACTTTGTACAATCTACAAATCGTTTATCCAATCTCACATACTTTATGGCATACTAAACTGGGGAAGTGCTTATAAAACTAATCTGGAGCCATTAAAATCTAGCCTTCGCAGAGCGTTAAATACCAAGCTCATAGTGAACCACTATTCAAAAAACATAATATTCTCAACTTTGATAACATGTATAAACTTGAAGTTGCTAAATTCATGTTTGATATTTATCATGAAAGCAGTAATGACCTATTCAACAACCTGTTCATTAAAAGAAATATACGTCATCAGCATGAAACAAGACAGTCTTTAAATGACAACTTCTCTTTCCCTTTGGCCTTGACAAATTACAAACAAAAGTCAATTGTATATAAAGGAGTCAAAATTTGGAATTCCCTGCCATTGCAAATTAAAAAGTTACCGAAAAAGTCATCTTTCATCAAAAACCTGAAAAATTATTTTTTAAAGTCAAACTGACATACTTATTCGAACCCGATTATGAACATTATCATTAAATATTTATTACCACCATGCATCTCACTATTGTGTTTTTAGTACAACCAATTTACATCTCTTATTATACTAACCCTATATTTTCATGATGTTTCTTCCTTTTGTTTTTCCTTCACATTCTTCTCTTGAAATCGGTCACCTATACACGTCAAATCGGGCATATGACCTAGATATTTCCTTGTGATTTCTTTTGATTTGTCCGACAGCAAACATACTAAACTTCGAACTACAAACTGTATGTAATTTTCCTTTTTTGTAAAAAATTATTTGTTACTTGTGGTTCAAGTATTAAATATAAATGTAGTAGTTAATTATTGTTGTGAATGAAATGTTTTGAGTTGAGTTGAGTAGATATAGAGTTATTGTGTAAGATCTCAGAACTCAAAAGTGGACGCTATTTTGCAAACTTTACAAAACTCCTTCGCAACAAAAAGAACAGTCTGTATGCAGGCTTAAATCGAGAAACTTACTTTTAATAGAAGCTAAACCATAAAAATAGATGCAATAAAACCTTTTTAACAATTCTCTTTAACCTGTCCGATGTTTTCAGTCGACTGTATTTTTCTTGTTTGTTAGCATGCATCATAAGCAAAAAGAGTCACGTCTATTTGTCAAAAAGGCAGAACAGAACTAATAACCAAACGCAATTCAACAAAAACAGTCAACGAAATGTCTCGTATGGTAAATTCAACATTCACAATTCCTGCCCCCTCAAATGCTGGGCAACAACAGGCTTTATTCGAACAATTCTTAGATGTTGAAGTGCAGCGTTCTCTAGGAGACAAAGGGGTTGCAGCTAACTCCCATCCATTAGGAAAATTGTTTTTGAATTCAGGACGACTCGTGCAATTTTATTTCATTGAAGCAACATTATCCAAGGAGGACTTCTACTAAGCCCTCCCTAAACGATTAGCCTCCGGTACAGGCATCTGGTTAATTTATTGTTTCTGGCCTATTTTGGCAGCATAAGCGAGCAGATTTCTAAGGCATACACTATTTTCCTCAGAACATATACTTTAAGAGCTCCAAGGAAATATTTTTTTATTTGAACGACAGATTGAGCATCAAACATTGAAAGAAAAAACGGCTTTTTTGGAAATGGCTCTCATGTTAACAAAGTCATCTATATCATATTTTAACACCATATGTAAAATACCCTTATATTTAGAAAACTGCATTTTCATATTAAAGTTATACATGCTGCTAATAAAAAAGATCCATTATAATTGAACTATATATTGTGACTAAACCAGCAAAGTTGAAGCTACTTCAGAAGCTTTGTCACTAATGACGATTTGTTAAATTGCCTAATAAAACTTATTATCAGGTATGCCATACCCTCAATGTTTCTTTTTATAAAATTGCTTGACTGCATTTCTTATAAAAATGCTCGATTAATGATTCAATTCTTTTAAGAACATATCTTTTCTGGGGAGCTTTGGAGCCATGACAGTGCTAGTATAGGACATACCCTATCTTGGGGACATATACATTGGAGTCACGACTTTTGTCTTAGTGGTTAAATGAATTTTCTTTTCCTTCAGAAAAGTCAGATGGCATTCTCCTGTATACAGAATAGACGGGGAGCAGGAAATTCGAGTTGGTTGATTTTTTCCAAAATCCCAATAAAAAAGCGCCTAACGTCTTAAATAAGGGGGGTTTGGAAAAATTTACCAAATTATACTAAATAGGCTTAATTCCTACCAGCCCTTTAAACTTGAAAACAGAATGAATAAAAACAATGAACTGGTTTCTTAAAATAGCAAAACGTTTATATAAAATAACTATGAAATTGGAGTATTCAGTTCTTAAAAATGTCTTCACTTTCTCTTTTTGTTCTCGAAGCAATTCTGTTTACTAGGAAGTACTTCGTTGTAGTTGTATACAACTTGCAAGTTCTTAATACATGAAGTTAATAATTTTATTACGGACACGAGAGTAAAAGATGAATCACGATCAAAGTAGTTCATTTTTGCCTTTGTTTAATCCTAGTTTACATTCGGCATATTCTTCAAAAGGCACTAATCTGTTGAAGAAGTAGCTAACAATGACGATGCAAGCTGCCACAATAGCGGCTATTGTGATGAAGACGTATCTTGGTCCGTAGGTTTCATAGATGCATGTCATCACCAATGGTGTTACGATTCCCGAAACACATGAAGAGCCAGATATAATTGCACTGTAGAAGCTCTTTGAAAAAATTAGCGTTTGAAAACCATTAATCATTGCTAAAGATGTAGAATGATGTTTAAATATAAATTCATATATATGTATGCATATATAATAAAATAGAATATATACTAGAAATGAGACATGTTCTCCGTTACTCCGAGTTTCGTGCTTACGCACTCATCAGACAGATTATCATCAGACCAAATTTACCAAATTTACATTGATTCCGAAGAAGCTTATAGCGAAACGTCAACCAAGCTGTTTTTTATTGAGTATCTATTTATATTTTTAAAAAACTTTAGAGTTAGGAGCTATTGAATATATATATATATATCTATATATCATAGAGTTGAAGAAAGTAAAACTACATGGTTTATCTCTACAGGAGATCTCCTGAAGAGTGAGTTACTCACGAAACAGGCTTGTAGAGATAAACCATGTAGTTTTACTTTCTTCAACTCTATGATATATCACGCTCTACGTGCTAACGTATTGAGCACTATGCTACGGAAGTATCAAAAGACAAATTTCCATATATCTATATATATATAATCATAAGGCAAATGCTGACAGGAGGAAAATTCTTTCCATAAGGGTGCTGCCCAATTGTATCGAACCACTCTTGGTCGGAATCGAACTCCAGTTTGCTGCTTCAAGTTTTCTTTATGGTCTATCAGAGTTACGAATGCTTCATTGTTCATTGTGTGGATGGCGCTGTCATTTGCTGTCTTGTAGGTTGTGGTTATGCTGTTAGTTAGTAGTTTGTCATGTTGTTCACTATCCAGTTTGTAGTAGTTGGTTGTTTTGTCAGCGGGGATGAAGGCTTTCGTGGAGGCGTTGATCTTTTTGATGTCTTCGTGTAGCTGGTCTTGAAATTGGTGGTGTGTTTTCATGAATTGGATGTGCTTGATCATGTTGAGTAGATCGGACTCAAATGCGTCTAGGTCTTCGTTTTGTGGGGGACATTTTTTAGATTTGAATCCGAACGTTTTGTTTTGATCCTCGGTTTGTTGGTCGTCTTCGTTTGGTTTTTCATGGAAGAAGGCTATCCATCTCATACACTTGATGACAATTTCACTTTTTTCGATAAGTTTCTTTATGTAGCTGTTTCTTGGCGGTATCGGTATATTCTTTATTGAATGGTTGAACCTTGTTTGTTCCATATCTTGCGTTTCACATGTATATATACAGCCCCAAACCCCTCCCCCAAAAAAACTTTCCTTGCAACTTTTCGAGTATATTTTTGTTTTATATTGCAACAATATAATTCAAATACTAAATTTTCTTCTAAATAACTGTGTGTGAAATTTCATTTTGTAGGCACTTTAAGCCTTTTGAGAAAGCATCCAACCATTAACAGTGAATGAAAGGTTTGATTTTTATTGAATGTTTTCAAAAAGTTCAAATTTTGGAAAAATCGGCATTGGCTAGAGAACCAAAAAGTCAATGTTTTTATGCAAATTGTTCAATATAAGATTGCAGGGAGAAATTTATTGCTGAAGCTGATTTGATAAGAACTTTAATGTAATGTAATCTTTGTTTTTTGCTCTATTCAATATTCTATTTTATTAAGTTCGCTTTATAATATGGTGGTATTACAAAGATTTGTTAAGTCATACCTGCTTTCTTGGGCCAATAACTTTCGAATACAACCCATTTATTATTAGAAATGACAACGTGAAGCCAACAATAATTATCAATTCTGCAACTACGAATTGCGCGAGGTGTATTTTAGGGGCATTTTTGCACCACTGGAACTGTGGCGGACACCCTGCTTTCCATATTGTTTTCATCACATTCCCAAGTTTTGTTTGTTCTGAAAAAGATAGCGTTTTTTCAAGACAAGACAATCAAATATAGATATAAACGATGAAAACCTGAATAACCAGTAGTTCATTTGTATAATCTGCATAACCACGTACAAACAATAGACCATTAGATTAGAAGATCGTGAGATAGCTCACCTGTTGTTTGTAGAGTTGGATGTGTGTTTCCCCAGGGTAAAAATATGATAAACCCTAGCAATGAAATTGTGCACCCTAGCAACATTATGCTTCTCTCGGCAAGCCTAGGTAGAAAAAAAGATGTCAGTTTGAAGGAAACATTTTTGTTGATGAAATGACAGGAAATCCAAGGAATTCTTAAGAAAAAAACAACTCATTGTTTGAACTGATTTTTAAGATTATTGCAATGGATTTAAAAGAGATGATAGGCCTTTTTGGTGTATAGTCTAAGAACAAATAATATTTACAACTTGTTAAAACGTAAATAATAATGTTGAATTTGCTGTAGTTAAAAAGATATCTAGTAGTATATAAAATTATCTAAATCTTTCTTTCTGATTGTTGTTGAGCTATTGAAGCTTGCTGCATTTTCTTTCTTTAGAATGTTTTTAGAGGGTCTTTTTGAAATTTTCGTAGTTTTTATACTCTTTACACCTTCAGGCAGTAAGTTCCACTGTAGCGCCGATCTGTATTTAAATGTCTTTTTTCCTTAATGTAGTCTATAAATGTTGTATCAATATTGTATA